AAACACAATAAAAACATGTATTATCTGCAGCATTGTTCAGTAAAATGGAACAACACTGTTAATGTATTACAGAAAATATACATATGGTACGCAGACTTAAAGATATGTAGACCATTACATTAGGTAATACATTCAGCAAGTGCTTTTACTTTTAGTACTTTAAGTATTTTAAAAGCAATTACTTATTTACTTTTACCTAAGTAAAAATGTTTATGTGGTACTTCTACTTTTACTAGAGTACATTTTTGTCAGTTTATTTGTACTTTTACTCAAGTACAGTGTTTGAGTACTTTCTCCACCACTGATTAGCACACTGATGGCTGTTTACTATTCACAGGGGGCTGAGTGATACTAGCAATCACAGCATTGTAAGAGGGGGACAATTTAACACGGAGGCCTCCACCCCTGTTTAATGATGGACGGTTTCTTTTCACAAAGATGGCCTCCTTTACTCCTCCCATCACCCTTTGGAGCACAAGTTAGGAGTCATCAGGACTCTGTACCACAGAGCAGACAGCGTCCCCACTAGCTCGGGAGCCAGGCAGAAGGAGAAATCCCACACAAGACAGGCTCTAGAGCAATGTGGATATCCTAACTGGGCCTTCCTGAAAGCAGAGAAGAAACCCAAACAAGACTCCAGTCAGCCAACAGGTGAAAAGGAGGAACCCAGACCAGTGGTCATTCCATATGTTGAGGGAGTATCAGAGAAACTGAGACGTTTATTTTCTAAACATAACGTCCCAGTGGCTTTTAAACCCCAAAATACATTAAAGACTGGTTCATCCCAAAGATCCAGTCCCCCGGCACAAACAGAGTAATGTTGTGTATGCTGTTCAGTGTCAGGAGGGTGATCAGTCTTACATCGGGGAAACTAAACAGCCACTGGCCAAAAGGATGGACCAGCACAGAAGATCAACATCATCAGGCCAGGACTCTGCGGTCTACACTCATCTCCAGGCCAGAGGTCACTCTTTCAGGGATGAAGATGTTCACATCCTGGACAGAGAGGAACGATGGTTTGAGAGAGGAGTAAAGGAGGCCATCTTTGTGAAAAGAAACCGTCCATCATTAAACAGGGGTGGAGCCTCCGGGTTCAACTGTCCCCCTCTTACAATGCTGTGATTGCTAGTATCACTCAGCCCTCTGTGAACAGTAAACAGCCATCAGGGTGCTAATGATCCATTGTTAGGCTGATGGTCCTTCTTGATCATGTGATCAGCTGGTTTTGGTTGTCAGCAGCAAAACTGGTTGATCCACTCTGAGAAGGTGCTATTTAAGAGACTGAGCTGAATACAGCACCTCAGACTGAGGAAGTCTCTTGGATGAGAGACGAAACGTTTCTACATTTTTTTGCTTTGTTTTTTTTTTTTTGCTTTTTTGAATGTCCAGAGGACCAGATTTAACTTTTTTGGATTTTTCTACCTGGATTATTGAGCATGCATCAGGATAAGAAACCCAACTATTTATAGGAATCGACAAACTCAATAGGGACACCATGTTAGGAATAAATCCTATAAATAATCCTACAAAGTATAAATATTTGTGTATCTTGGTCGACTCACATCTCTCTTTTAAGCTTCATGTGGAAAACTTGGTAAAGAAACTGAAAGTTAAACTGGGTTTCTTTTTCAGAAACAGATCCTGTCTAACCCTGAATGCTAGAAAACGCCTTGTATCTGTGACTTTCCTTCCCTCCATTGATTACAGTGACATTATTTACATGAATGCTCCTACAAGAACCCTGCAGATGTTGGATGCTGTCTATCATGGTGCACTAAGATTCATAACTGGCTGTGATTATCGTACCCACCACTGCACCCTGTATTCACTGGTTAACTGGTCACCATTAACTTCACGCAGACTCTCTCACTGGTACATTTTCATCTTTAAATCACTTCTTGGTCTGCTGCCTTCATACATCTCCTCCTACATGTCTCTGTGTGAGTGCAGCTACGGAGTGCGCTCTCAGGACATTATTACCTGCAGTGTTCCCTCAGTGAGGACTGAACTAGGCAAAAGGACCTTCTCCTACTCCGCTCCTGTTTCCTGGAATATCTTACAAAAATACCTGAAGCTCTCTACCTTGACCTCTCTAAGTGGCTTTAAAAATCTGTTGAACTCCTGGCAAGGACCAATGCAGACATGTTCCTGTTTTTATCCAAAAAAGTTCAATCTGGTCCTCAGGACATTCAAAAAAAAAAAAAAAACAAAGCAAAAAAATATAGAAACTTTTCATCTCTCATTCGAAAGACTTCCTCAGTCTGAGGAGCTGTATTCAGCTCAGTCTCTTAAATAGCACCTTCTCAGAGTGGATCAACCAGTTTGCTGCTGACAAACAAAACCAGCTGATCACATGCTCAAGAAGGACCATCAGCCTAACAATGGATCATTAGCACACTGATGGCTGTTTACTGTTCACAGAGGGCTGAGTGATACTAGCAATCACAGCATTGTAAGAGGGGGACAGTTGAACCCGGAGGCTCCACCCCTGTTTAATGATGGACGGTTTCTTTTCACAAAGATGGCCTCCTTTACTCCTCTCTCAAACCATCGTTCCTCTCTATCCAGGATGTGAACATCTTCATCCCTGAAAGAGTGACCGCTGGCCTGGAGATGAGTGTAGACCTCAGAGTCCTGGCCTGATGATGTTGATCTTCTGTGAATGTCCAGAGGACCAGATTGAACTTTTTTGTTTTTTTCTACCTGGATTATTGAGCATGCATCAGGATGTTCCTGTTTTTAGTTTTCTACATTCGCCTTATAATCTATCTGTTTTGGTTACTTTTTTTGCCATCTTATTTGTTAAAAAAAAATAATCTGTATGCCTTTTTATAACTGTCTATTGTTGTCGCTGTTGTCCATTGTTGTCATCATTCTTTGTTGAAATCAGGTGTCTCTTGTAAATGAGTCCTCAAGGCTCAATGGGATTTACCTGTATAAATAAAGTTTGAATGAAAAAAAAATCAGAGGAAGAACAGCAGGGACTGACTTCCTGTTTGAAAAAGCATCCCTTTGGTTTTGTCGGCATTTAGGACAAGTTTGAGACAGACCAAGTCTGTCTGAATGATGTTAAATGCAGATTGCAAAAGCTGGAAAGCCTTAGCAACTGTTTTAGCTCCACAATAAACAACTGTGTCATCAGCATAGAAATGTATGGATGTGTAGTGAACTAGGCCTGAGGTCAAATCCTGACCTTAAGGACCTTATGGGACAGAAACTTTCATTTCATTGATTTGAATCCAGAAATACAGGTTGACCCATCCTGAGACTTTCTTTCTTGAATTGATCAAGTGAAAGAACACTACTTTCTATTATCATTACTATTTTACAAATGTTTTGATAATCAAATTGTGTTTAGTTCAAACCATTTTTAAATGTTGAAGTGAACTACTCATTTAAATCAACTGTGAAACAGTATTAGTGATTTTTATCCTCATTCAAAGTAGAAATCAGATTAATGATGCATTGTCTGATTTTCTGTCTTCATTGAGCAAGTTGTGTAAGTTGGTCAAAGGTCAAGTTTCGGTCAACTGCAAGTTTACTGAAAAGAAATGTCATGTTTAACTTTTTCAGGCAGATACTAGAGAATTGACTCCACGAAGTCTGGAATTTTCATAGCAATCTTCTGTCTGTTCTTAAACAATCTTAATCTTTTTCCTTGACTTTTTTATAACCTCTTACATCACAAAACACACCTCTGTTTTGGTCCATCGACCAATCAGAAAGTTCTCAATTGAACCGGAAGTGAGCTCTTTTAAAAGGTGCAACACTTCCTAGTTCACAGGCGGTTCTGCAGTTCCAGAGTTCAGATTGCTGGAATTCAGGATGCTGGAGGAAGTTCTGAAGTTCTGAAGTTCTGGGCAGTTCTGGGAAGAACTGAGGAGAACGCTGAGAGAATGCTGTGAGTTGGTTCCGAGAGCAGCAGAGTCCAGAATGCTCAGGACATCTGCGACTAAGCTGAACAAGAGAAGTTCAGAGGAATTATGAAGAAGTCTGTTCTAGGATGATCTCACGACTCCTGAGGTTTAGCTGTTCTTACGGAGACGCTGGAAGAGTTGAAAGGAAAGCTCTACACCAACGCTGAACTATCATCTGCAAAGGTAAAGAGTCGATCTCAACCAAAGTGTACCGTGGGTTAAGCTGGTCTAGAAGGAGCGTGCTGTTCTGGTTATAACAGACAAATTCCCTCACCCATCTCTCTCAAGATAAACTTCATTTTCCATCTTTAAACTCTTCTATTCTGCTAGCAAATCATTCCAGATATTTTCAGAAATGTCTGTTGTGAAGCAAAGGGAAATCATGGCCGGATGGTTTTCCTGTTTGTAAAACTTGCTAAATTAGCCATGTTGTTATTTTTCAATTTGCCAATTAATGTAAATGTGTGTTTAAATCGTTTTTAAATAAATGACCCACTGTTGTTGGTGAGTCAAAGATAAACACGTTTCCGTCCACATTTAATAATTCAACACATGATATTATTCAGTCCAGAAAAATGAATGAATCCGTTTAATTTATGAATATATCACAGAATATGTTCATCTACAGATGCATCAGGGATGTTCTGGCCTACATTACCTATGTAGATTGTAAAGAGGGTGGGTCCTAAGACTGAGCCTTGTGGTACACCATTGCTGACTTAAATAATGGGAGGAAGTACCATTATGTTGAACACATTGCCTCCAATCTGAAAGATAATTAGAGAACCAACCAATGGTGTGTTCTCAGAAACCAATTTCTGAAAGCTTATGACACAAGATGTCATGCCACAGTGTCAAAAGCTTTAGACAGGTCTAAGAAAAGTGCAGCACAATAATCCTTAGCATCCAATACTTCAACGACGTATCAGTGACCTGTTAGAAACAGCTCGTTGTGTCTGAGGTTGTGCTGCTGTAACTCCAAGCACCAGAGAATATAAAAACACTAAAATTACTAAAGACTCTTCACACAAACCAAACCAAAGCATTTTGCCATTTTCAGTAATGTCTGTGTGTTTTGTGCAGGTGGGCTCAGGTGCAGGTCTTGGCTTTAATGTGAACATAGCATGGACCGGGGGGGTGGAGCCACCTATGGGGGATGTGGAATACCTGACTGCCTTCAGGTATGCTGCTGCTCTTTGATCACAGAGTCAGACTAAGCTGAAAAACATTAGTGTAAGTGAAAAGCTTTATTGCATGTGTGTGTGTGTGTGTGTGTGTGTGTGTGTGTGTGTGTGTGTGTGTGTGTGTGTGTGTGTGTGTGTGTGTGTGTGTGTGTGTGTGTGTGTGTGTGTGTGTGTGTGTGTGTGTGGGTGTGTGTGTGTGTGTGTGTGTGTGTGTGTTTGTGTGTAGGAGTGTGGTCATGCCTATTGCCCAGCAGTTCAGCCCAGACGTGATCCTGGTGTCTGCGGGATTTGATGCAGTGGAGGGTCATCAGTCTCCTCTGGGGGGCTACAATGTCTCCGCCAAGTGTGAGTGAACAGTCTGAACAGATATCCTGATGCATAGTCTGGACAGATGATCAGACGATGACTGATTCCTATCTGGTTTTCTCACCTGGAACTAATGGTATTGGCAGGTTTTGGCCAGTTGACGCAGCTCCTGATGGCTCTGGCAGGCGGGCGGGTTGTGATGGCACTGGAGGGTGGCCATGACCTGACTGCCATCTGTGACGCATCGGAAGCATGCGTCTCTGCATTACTGGGAGACCTGGTGAGAGTCCTGATAGAAAGGAACAAGCGTGTGTTTTGCGTCACTGTCATGTTGAAAGATGAACCTCAGGTCCAGTCTGAGATGTATGGAACCGTTTTTCATTGACTGTCAGTCTTCTTTAGAGTTCAAGTGGACTCCAACGAAGGTGTAGAAACATCTCATCAGAAATCAAGAAGAAAACAGGAACCTGAACTAGACTTCAAGTGTTGCTGCCAAAACATCTGAAATTATTTAAAAAGATATTTACAGCGTTTTATTTAATTATGTTATTCCTGTAACTCTGAGTGTAGATTAATGAAACCAGCATAAAGAAATTCCACTGGGTGAACGGTACTCTGAGAACAGGACTCTCTATGGCTGATTGTTGTCTTTTCTGCTTCTCAGTGCGACTCTGACTTTCAGTGGCCTCAGGAGACACCGTGTCCTAAAGCCTGCTCATCCCTGGAGACAATCATCGAGATTCAGAGTGAGGAGCTGCTCCCTGAACAGTTGGTCCAGATAAACACCATATACTCTTCATTATGACACTTCTTCCTGCTTCTCCAGGTAAACACTGGTCCTGTCTCCAGAGTTTGTCTCTGACCAGCGGACAATCGCTGCTTTTGGGGCATCAGGGCCAGTCAGAGAAGGATGAGGCTGAAACGGTCAGCGCCATGGCGTCACTGAGTGTTGATGTGGATCAGCCCAGTTCAGTTGGTGAAATCACAGAGAACAGCAGGTCAGTTCTGGAACATAACTAGATCAGTCTAAAAAAGTTAAATCTGGTCCTCTGGACATTCAAAAAAAACAAAACAAAGCAAATCAACAAAAAAATGTAGAAACGTTTCGTCTCTCATCCGAGAGACTTCCTCAGTCTGAGGAGCTGTATTCAGCTCAGTCTCTTAAATAGCACCGTCTCAGGGTGGATCAACCAGTTTTGCTGCTGACAACCAAAACCAGCTGATCACATGCTCAAGAAGGACCATCAGCATAACAATGGATCATTAGTACACTGATGGCTGTTTACTACTCACAGAGGGCTGAGTGATACTAGCAATCACAGCATTGTAAGAGGGGGACAGTTGAACCCGGAGGCCTCCACCCCTGTTTAATGATGGACGATTTCTTTTCACAAAGATGGCCTCCTTTACTCCTCTCTCAAACCATCGTTCCTCTCTGTCCAGGATGTGAACATCTTCATCCCTGAAAGAGTGACCGCTGGCCTGGAGATGAGTGTAGACCGCAGAGTCCTGGCCTGATGATGTTGATCTTCTGTGCTGGGCCATCCTTTTGGCCAGTGGCTGTTTTGTTTCCCCGATGTAAGACTGATCACAGCCCTCCTGACACTGAACAGCATACACAACATTACTCTGTTTGTGCCGGGGGACTGGATCTTTGGGATGAACCAGTCTTTGCCATAATGTATTTTGGGGTTTAAAAGCCACTGGGACGTTATGTTTGGAAAATAAACATCTCAGTTTCTCTGATACTCCCTCAACATATGGAATGACCACTGGTCTGGGTCTGGGTTCCTCCTTTTCACCTGTTGGCTGACTGGAGTCCTGTTTGGGTTTCTTCTCTGCTTTCAAGAAGGCCCAGTTAGGATATCCACATTGCTCTAGAGCCTGTCTTGTGTGGGATTTCTCCTTCTGCCTGGCTCCTGAGCTAGTGGGGACGCTGTCTGCTCTGTGGTACAGAGTCCTGATGACTCCTAACTTGTGCTCCAAAGGGTGATGGGAGTCAAACTTCAAATACTGGTCTGTGTGGGTGGGTTTGCGGCACACCTCAGTTTGCAAATGTCCTCTATCAGAGACTGAGACCTCACAGTCCAAGAAAGCCAACCTGCCATTTTTTTCATCTTCTCGTGTGAACTTGATGTAATGTGCCTGCAGTCAACCTACTTCACATATGGGGAGCAATATTATAGGCAGAAACATGGGTGTGCTATGGGGTCTCCAGTTTCTCCTATTGTTGCCAACCTGTTGAAGGATTTGTGGTGTTCAAAATTACCCGAGCACAGAATTTCAGGAGCACTTCACCTTAGTATAAAATATTTAATTGAGACAAAGTTAAAGTGGGCAGATATTACATAATAATCAGAGTGCAGTCTGAGGAACAAAATCAGAGTGAACCTTGCCTGGTCTATCAGCCCGATGTTTGTTCAACCAAACTCTGTGTCTGAGCGAGATTTATAGGTTTGTCATGTCCCGCCCTTTCGGGTTCAGACAGACTTGTGATTGGGTGTCAAAACCTCTTGATGGTCTGAGTGACACCCTGTTCAGCCAGTCAGGAGCAGATTTTATCTCCAGGGTTACTCCGAAAGCCCCAGACAGCCTCGCTCATTCTTCTACTGATAAGGGTTGATTTACGAGCTTTGTTTTGGAACGCAGTACACTTATGCCCCTTTTCCACTGTCACAGTGCGGATCAGATCAGTTCGGGTCGGTTCAGATCGGCTCGGGTCTGTTGCGTTTCCATGTACATTTCTGGACCAGCTCTGTAGGCGGGGACTAGAATCCAACTCGTCTTACCACCTGGTGGTGGTAGTGCTCCCTTAAGCTACTTACTAGCCACCACTAAACGTATTAGAAGAAGAACACCCTGAAGGTTTTGTCTCAAGGTGTTGTGGAAGAGATGTCATGCTCTAATGGAGTACCTCATGAGCTGTAACTTTTAAACCTGATTCATAATCCTACCTTACTGCCTTCCTGCTGCTTTAAACCCATGTGTTTTACATTTTAGTATATATTTTTACAATAAAGATGTATTAAAAATATCTTCACTTTTATTATTTGCAGATATGCACAAGGTTCATGTTAAAATTACAAAACATCACACTGTGCTGTAATCTTTGAAACTGCTTTTACAATAAGATACAGACTTGAAAACAATTTGGTTAAATTTTGTCCTTGAATTTTAAAGATTTGTCTTTCATTAAATTTAAAAACATCAATTTATTACTTATTAATCTAAAAAAGTTAAGTCTGGTCCTCTGTACATTCAAAAAACAAAACAAACAAACAAAAAAACATTTATTGTTTATTTATTATAAACTGTATTGTTTGTTTTGTGAATATCCAGAGGACCAGACTTAACTTTTTAGATTTTTCTACCTGGATTATTGAGCAGCATCAGGATATTAATTAATAAATAGTCAGTTGGTCTGTGAACACCATGGGGTCCTAGAAGAGTTGAAGAGGTGGCTGTTGATGTCTGTGCCTCCCTGGTGAAGCTGCTGCTCCCACAACCCTGAAGCAGAAGATGATGGATGGATGGATGGATGGATGGATGGATGGATGGATGGACGGGTGGCGAAGGAGGAGACCATCAAACAGCAGGAGTGGTCAGTTCAGTTGAACTCCTGCCTGTTTGCTTCAGATCAGCTGTTCAAATCTCTACAGGTTCAAATAAAAGGTGCACCAGGACTTTCAGCTGAATCTCTCGGGCCACAGTTGTACAGCTGATAAATGATAACTGATAACTGTCCTTTCTGAATTTTTGCAATGGATCTGTTGTCTTTTCAAAATAAAAGCTGCCAGTGCTCATATGAATGCCTACCGGAATAATCACTTCACAATCTCAAACCACAATCACAAAGGAGAGCATCCTGTGCTCCAGCATCAACGTGTGGCATGGAGACTGCACAGCTGCAGAAAGAAAAGCTTTGCAGAGAGTGGTGAAGGCTGCACAGAAGACTGTCGGAATCAGCCTCCCCACCATCACAGACATCTACACCTCCAGATGCAGGAAGAGGGCTACCTGCATCATGAAGAACCTCACTCACCCAGCACACACACTTTTTGCCCCACTCCCCTCAGGAAGGAGGTTGAGGAGCATTAAGTGTAGAACCACTAGACTGAGGAACAGCTTCTACCCTGAGGCTGTTAGACTCATGAATCTCTAACTAGAATAATCACTGTGAAAAATCACATCATGTTGCTGCTGATCTGTTTCATGTTGCTATACTACGCTATGCTGAGCTAACATAGAAAACACAGCTGTGCAGTTGTTTATCTCTGGAAGTTTATATCAGAGTATGTCTCTTTCCTCTCAGTTTTGGTGGCAAACAGCTGCAGCCCAGTGAGATTCTGGCTTCAGATGATGGCAGAAAGAAGTCTCACAGTTCTTTTGGGTTTTGTGGAAGTTGAAGGATGTTACACAGACGTTGACTTTGAAATGTCTGCAGAAATGTTTTATCTTGTAAACTATATACAAATCTGCAACAGGTCTTCACATGAAACCGTGATACTAATTTATAAAACAAGCTGTCAGAAGTTTTTGGCATGGGGGGGGGGTGGGGGGGGGTTTGGTTGATGGTTGGATGTGTGATGACATTGGGTGTTTGATTTGTCTGCAGGTCTACTGTGGAGCCAATGGAGGAGGAGCCTGTCTTGTAGGAGGAGCTTAATCTAGAACAATACAGAAACACTTTCACCTCCTTCTAGCACCTCCTTTTCATTCCCCGTTCCTCAACAGAGTGTGTGTACACACACACACACAAACAGTGTGGATTTGAGATGTTGTGGAGGACTCAACTCAGCTGGGAGCCTGAAGGAGGTGAGCCCAGGTGAGTCTTGTAAGAAAAATGTGGACGCAGCTCTTTGGTTCTTGCCTGAGGAGATGCAGACAGATTGTTGGCATCTCCGTGGAAACCAAAAGGGGGAGGAGAGTCATCAAGTATGCACTTTCTGCCCACCACCTGCACACAGCACCTCTGAACCTGAGCTTCATCCCTCACCTCTGGACGGAATGTCCCACACCAAGCTGACGTCTGGTCTTCTTGTGTGTCTGTGCGATGTCAGAGATGGATGGAGACCTGTGTTGCTCCCAGCAGAGAAGGAGAAAACATGAACGGTGCCTTTTCCTGACCAAACTAACGAAGACCGCAGGTCACTGCCGGAGCGCCTGAGCACATGCACACGGCTACTTCATCTTTATGCCTTACGCTTTCGCCACATTTATCAACCTGCAGAGAAAAGAGCAGGCGCCCAGGAGCTGGAGTCACTTCTTCTCACTACTAACTCTGTTTTATTTGAAACTTGACAATATTCCTTTCAAGTGTTCTAAAGAGAAACTTTTTTAGTTTAGGGGAGAAAAGCTTCTGAAGTGATCTCCCAAGGTGGGAATTCTGTAGAATATTTGTGGGTCTCAGGATCATTGTTCATTCAGATTTGTTGGTCCTCTCCTCATCTTGTCTTGCTTCAGAGTCATGTGATCTGGGCCACGCCCCCTGCGACAGGTTTCCTGTCTGCTGTGCATATGCCACATCACAACAAACCTGCTCCCAGGTTGTTGTTTTTTTATTTCTGTAAATACACATGTACAAACAAATACCAAATACTTTCTGCTTTTGTACAAAAATATAAAAATACGACTTATAAACAGTGTTTTATCAAATTAAATTATATGTATAAATATTTTCTGTTTGATGTTTTTAAGGTCTGACAGGAAGTAAGCACATGGATGGACAAGTCAGCCATCAACATCTTTGTTTGTTTGTTTGTTTGTTTGTTTGTTTGTTTGTTTACAGACGATGAGGGGGATTGAATGTTGCTGTTTTTGATCAGCTGGACTCCAGTCCCTCAGACATGAGCAGTAACCACAGGCAGGAAGTGTAAAGGTCATGGGTCCAGTCTTTCTCCACAGAGAAGTTTTGTGGTTTTGGACTTTCCTCCTGTCTGTTGAACAGAACCCTGAACCTTCCTGAGTCTTGATCCAGACACTAAGGGGGTTACAAAAAAGCACAACTAAAGTATTAAAATAACAAACTGCCTGAAAGGAGTTGATCGTTCAATTCAACAAACCTTTTTATACTTCTAATGTTGTACATGGTGCTTTTATGCCCCTTTTCCATTAGTACCTGTAGTACCGGTACAGCACGGCTCTACTCTACTCAGTACGGTACACGTGTTTCCGTTATGCTTTCAGTACTGGTTCCTGTGGGTAGGGTTCAAATTGACGTCACCACCTCTCACCAGCTGGTGGCGCTGAGACGCTGAAACTGCTTTCAGTACAGGGTGAGAATTTATTTTTTTATTTTGAAGTTGTGTGTATGTATGTATGTATGTATATACTG